ACAATGAGGATTAAAAGGGGAAAAGGACATCCAAAGTTTGCATCACTAAAGCAACCAAGCGAAAAAAATCATAATTTTTATCTTCCAATTGGAATCAATGAACAAAAAGATTAAAGAGCATAAGTTCAGCAATAAGCATGTAACATGACTAACATCAGTATATTGCTTAATATTTTACCATATACTCCTAAAACACCATATGAAGCAGTATATCGCTTTCTGCATAAAACTCCTTAAACCAATTTCATTTGTGAAGGCATCAAAATGCATCCCATGGTGAAGCTCCTTGTATCCTGCAACGCAGTCTTTATGCAGTTGTCTGCAATCACAAATGAAAACGGAAAAGGTCATTGTTAGCAAAATATTGATAAGGAAAATTTAGAACATGAAATTGAACAAAAATCACAAATGAAAACGAACAAAAACCAAGCAAAATCAAACAGGAAATCGAACAAAATTGAACAAAATCGAACAGGAAATCGTAAAATTAAACAAAATCGAACAAAATAGATAAAAAAAAAAAGTCGAAAAAATTGATGACCTAAGTCGCAAACTCGCAGTGGAAATCGAACAAAATTGATTAACAAAACACACAAAATCGCAGAAAAAAAAATTGATAAAATTGCCAAATGATATCGAAAATTAAACATCTGAAATCTAATCAAATTATGAAAAAAGAATATTCAAATTTGATGAGAAAAAGTCGAAAAATCGCACTAGAAATCAAACAAAATTGATGAACAAAACACGCAAATCGCACAAGAAATCGAACAAACTCGCAGGAAAAAAATTTGATAAAATTGCCAAATAAAATTGAAAATTAAAAATCTGAAAATCGCATAAATCAAATCTCAAAAATCGCAAAAATTAAAATCGGAAAAATCAAATTGAAAAATCGCAAAATCTAGTTGAACATCATGCGTTTTTCATGAAAATTTGAACAAAATCGGAAAAAAAAAACGTACCTGATTTGAGCAATTTAGGTTGTTTATGCGAAATTTGAACAAAAATTCTTCAATTTCCAGCAATTTGTGTTCAATTTTGGGATTTGAGGAGAGAGAAAGACAAGAGGTTTGCAAGTTTGAGGAGAGAGAAAGACAAGAGGTTTGCAAGTTTGAGGAGAGAGAAAATTTTGGACGGTGGGTTGGGGGTTTTTGGGAGGATATGTGTTTTAATCTCAGCCGTGAGATTTGATGGGTCATAATCTACGGTCTTGATTGTCCGTTTCCATGTTTTTAGCTATAGGTTTGTTTTCACATGATCCACACTCTATACATATATATATATATATATATATATATATATATATATATATATATATATATATATATATATATATATATATATATATATATATATTTATATATATATATAATTCACATTATAATTGCAAAATCTCAATTGTTGTTAGACGATTTTGTACAACTAATCAGGAAATTATTCTACACGATGTACTTCACCAATATGATCTGATATTTGTGTATAAATTGATTATGTTCATTTGTTGCCTTTATTTCTCGGTCGGTAGAACTTAGCATACAGTAGAGTCTACTCCAATTGATAAATTATACTCTGTAATCCTATATCGTTCTGTGATTAATGTGCTAAGCTAGTATTAAGATTGCATGCTATTTCTATATTTGAAACATATTAAAGCTTATTCTGAATTGCATATTGATAAGGATGTTATTTGTGTATTCTCTATTATATATATCATCATATATATAACCTATTTTTCTTTCCAATTTAATAATTTATATATATATACTAGTATATGACAAGTGTTCTACATGAAATTATAATTGTGGATGCATTTATCAAACGTTTCAATAAATCACTGGGCAAATATTGCAAATACATGATGTCTTATTTTAAGAAAGAATATTTAACTATTAAAAGATCCACATGCAAATCCGTAGGAGTAATCCACAGAAAAGTATGATAATCAAAGGATTCTTTTCTAGTTGCTTGTACTTTATGGGTAAGATTACTTTTTTTTTTATTGACGACATAATTTTATTAACATGATAAATATTTGTTTAAAATATTTGACGTAATAATCAAGAGCTAAAATTTATGGTATAATTTAGTTCTTTATTTAATGATATATATCATTTGTTACTTTATTACTCTTGAGTGAGATTGCTAATACATGCAGAATGTCATATATTTAACTGACTATATAGATGATTTCTACGTCTTCAAATTATGCTTATCACAATTCATCTTGTTTATCACCAATAATGTAGATATTAGTTTTAAAATGAATTTGAGGACAATCATTTATTTTGTTAATTAGATGGGAAACGATAATTAATGAATTCTTGTTTGTAACGACTAGCTATTAGATGAGATACACATGATCGAAATGGTCAAGACAAGTAGTGTGACACTAGAACTTGCAAGCTAATATTTTATAAATGCATACTCCTCTCCATGTTTGAGACTTGAAGTTCTAAAAAAATTTGTTTTTGTTAATACTTTGAAGTTTGAACCATCTCATATACATACAATATTCTTAACATTAACCATGATCATGTTGCTAGTAACCTTATAAGTGGATACAATTATTACATATACTGACACTATTTCAACATTATTATTGAGTGAATATGATTGTATTCAATTATACATGATATTATATGCCTACATTAAGTTGGATTATAGGAATGATGAATAATTTAACATTAAATACTCATACATACGGACGGAAAGTTCCTTAATTTATGAAGGGTTAAAAGCCCTCAATATGAACCTATGTGTAAGACTTAGAAAATTTTAATAGTTTCTAAATTATGTTGTTAACATAATCCACGCACCGTTCACAATACTAATGTGAATGAGAATTTGTATGATTGAAAAGATAGCAAACACGTTTGCATGATGTTTATTGATCATATATAATGGAAAAGTTCATTAGAATTGCAAACATGATAATATATTATCTATTTGAGCAAGAAATAGTGTTACGAGTTCAAGAATTTAAAGATGACACTTTGAGCAACTTACTCGAAATATGTATTATGTATGCCGTAAGAATTTATGACATAAAGATTAATATAATTGAGATAAAGGAACAAGTAAGAGTTTTATATAAGAATAATTTTACTTTGCTTGATACATGTTAATACCAAAAGAATTTATGACTTAAAGATGCAAGGGATTTTAAAAGTTGTTGGATTAATTATCTCATACCCCATATGCAAGGATTAGGGGGAGATAGTAATTATTTCATTATTTTATGTAATCCTTGCACATGAATAATAAGATACATTGATGGTTAGCTTGGTACATATATTAGCTTTAGTATCAACGAGTTATTTAATAAGGGTGACCACAAAATTATTTAAGATTCAAATCAAAGATAGATTGAATAGATTTCATTAGCTATATGCCTATATACCAACTTTAAATGCTCCAATTAATATTAATGTTCCAAAAGACAACATTAGTTATTAATGAACCTAAAGCACGCCTGAAGCGTGGTAGTCAAACCCAATAGGTACCAAAAACATGAATCTTCAAACAGCAAATAGGCAATTATTTACAATAGCAAATTTAAGGAAGTGATACATTCTCATAGCTCTCTATAAGAGATTATCTTTAGTAAAATGGATATGTACCACGATTATATATATAGAATACTCCATGAGAGTATAGAATGTTCAACAACCTTAAGCATGTATCAAGATTATAATCAAAAGCACTCCAACAGAGTATGAGTTAATATTAGATCAAATATTAGTCAATTGTCTTGTCAATTGTATAAAGAAACACATGTTGGTGTTCTAATATCACATCATACTCATGGCCATGCATAAAGTAAGTTTAATAAAGTGATCACTAGTGTCGGAAAATTGAGTAGAGTTCAATTTCAGAGATGTAATTGGATGTGATAATTAAATTAGGCCATCCGGGTTCAATAAATACCCGTTATGGAAACCTGAAGTTTCATTTGATAATGTGCTAACACTATCTCAATGTTAGATATATGAAATGAATTGAATGACAAGACATAACATTGAGATTGAGCTATAATAATTTGTGTTGATGAAAATTTCAAGAGTTAATAGGTTTTGATTTTCATATATACAAAAGAGCAATAGGTGACCAGAGTTCACCAGAATAACTTATATATTATTGTCAAGTATTAGGTGACCAGAACCTCACCAAATACACCATTTAAGTCTTCAAAGATCTAGAAGATCACCATTTAGTAGAATTACAAGCAAGTGATTTACGCTTGTATACCAATTCTTTTGATTGGGGCTATTATATGTCAGCACATAAGAAATAGGAGAAGAAAGAAAAACGTACAACTGCACAACACATGTCTCCTCGTTGACATTGATCTCCAGAAGAGAAAATATTATGGAAAATGTTATAATAAATACACATGATATGTAAAGTTAATGAATAAATGATTCTTCATTGAAATTGTTCTCCAGAAGAGATAAATCTTGTTTAATACAAATCTTCTGAGAGATAAATTTTGATTGTGATCCTCCCAATGAAATGAATTTTAATGCAAATTTATATACTAAGTTGGTATAGTATTAGACATCTCTATAAAAGAGATATTTTACCAACTTAGGGGGAGGAGAAACAGCAAAAGTTGGAAAAATCGAAAAAAAAATAAAATTTGATGATCCCTATAATGGTAGTTTGAAATATTATATGCCAACTTTTGTCTATATACTATCAAGATATGTTGCACATTTATGATTTGATTTGTATTCATTTATGACTCTTGTTGCATAGCATTGAAGATACATTTTGGTCATATTAAATTATGTGTATACATTGAGATAAAATCTTGCCAATTATACATGAATCACTACACCTGAAGTGTGGGTTGTATGATCGGTTCCAAACTATAGATATGATATGTGGCAAGATAGTGCAGTTAACACTTTTAATTGTGTAATAGTATATAACTACCATTTGTGATGCACGAACACGCCATATAACAGAGGTGTCCGACACCGACACGGGTGGGACACGGTACGATACGTGTCAGACACACTAAAATCCGTGTCCAATTTTTTTAAAAAAAAAAAACGTTGCATGGACACGGACCGTGTCCCCCATAGACACGGCCCGTTTGGGGGTGGACACGCCAATTTCGTATTTCCCTCAAACCATACTACTCAATTGCTCAAACCCTACTGCTCAATTTCTCTCGTCTCTCAAACACCAACAACTGCAATCCTCAGCCTCACTGCAACCCAGATCGTCGCCGACTGCCGCCGCTCGCCACCGGCTGGCCGCCGCTCGTCACCACTCACACCGGTCTCGCAGGTATCATTCTCCGTCCTCTCTTTCTCGAATTTAACGGAAACCCCCTTTAATCCTCTCCCGTCGCTCGTCGCCACCAGCCACCGTCGCTCGTCACCCTCGCTCGTCACCCCGACGTCTCAGGTAATCCTCTCATTCTCGTTTTCATTTAAATTCATCCCTTAATTCGCTCGTCACCCTCCCTTAATTCTCGGTTTTTCCTTAAATTGGATTGTGTTGTTTGATTGTTTCAGTTGTTTGCTGCCGTGCTGGGTGGGCCTCTGACCGTCGTCGCCGTCGCTCGTCACCTGCCTTTGCTGGTCATTGCCGTTGCACTCAGGTATGTACCTCTCGTCCTCTCAGGCTCTCACCGTAGGTACTGTCATTTTGTTTTGACAAGAAATTTGGAGCATCGCAATTCTAGTGGTAGGTACTGTCATTTTAGCACTTGAGCGGCTGAAATTAACATTTTTGCAATAAAAACACAAACCTTTTTCTTTGAATTGGTTGCTGTAAACGTTGAAAAATAAAATTACAGGTGTTATAAAAAAATATATAATTTAGAAAAAAAAATTGTTTGCAGAGGAAATTATATTGTGGATTATGAAATATTGCAGAGTAGCTGAAACCACTACAAGATGTTAAGTATAACTCTTAAGGAATTTGATTGTGTTGTTTGAGCTGAACTGGAAATGTTTGATTTGCTGAAAATGTGTTGTATAACTATTAGTACTTATGTTTATTTTATTTATGATTTGTAAAACTATTATTAAGACATGTATTTGGTTTGATGTTTCTTCCTATGTATGCGACTATGTTCGTACACTTTATTTATTTACTTTGTTTAAACAGATTTGTGTGTTCTGAGGCTAAATTTTTAGTGTTTTATTGAACAAGTTGTCAAATTCTCGTTTTTTGGATATATTATATGCCTTGTTATACGCCGTACCCATGTCCCCTATTTCAGGATTGCCGTTTTCCCGTGTCCGTATCGTGTCCGTGTTCGTGTCTGTATCCGTATCCGTGCAACATAGACTACCATAGTGTATAAATACCCCAAAAGTAGTATAGATGTCTGAATTATTACAATAGATGGCCTATGATGTAAGAAAAATTATGATGATACCAATGAAAAATGCATTCAGATAAAATTGTCAAAATAGCATGCAAATTAAAATTGTACAGTGTCTTGCATTATTTTGAGTCCTATGTATGTTCATATGCATGTGTGAGCCTAGGTTAATGTATTATTCATTGCGTATATCGAAAGTTGTTAGATGCATTACTCATTGTATATTTTGTTTTCTATATCTCATATTGCTGCATTAGTTTCTATATAATAATTGTGGTATATGTGAATATTCGTTCAAAAATATAGTAAGGCGTATTTGTAACTTTGATGGAAAATTACAAAGAAATATATATATTCCAATGGGCTTATAGTTGTGATGAAATTATTGATGACGTCGAGTTTATAGCATGTTATGAATCATGTAAGAAGAGTTCCGGAAGAACTTATGTACGACGTATTTATATATCTAGCCCTACAAATTTTATATTTTGAATATTTTAATTATATCAAACTTTTGGTCTGTGTGACTATATTATTGACATCTCAACCTGAAGTTTGAGCATATGAGAATTAGTGAGATCGAGAATTACTATTTGTATTTGCATGAGAATTATCGTGTCATTTATGAAACTTCTGATATAAAGAATATCAACGGGATACTTATGCGTGAGACTGTTTTCTTATGGTCCAGAAGAACCATGATCAATGTATATAATTACATGTGTTATATTATTGTTTCATACAAGATTTAGAAACAACATTAATAATATCATGTGTTGCCATATAATTATTAAAGAATGTTTGATCAAATAATGATCATCAATTTCTATTATTCACGGCCTCCAGAAGAAGGTATAAGTTTAATGGTTAAGGCAACTTTGAACAGAGATTTCGAATGAAATGTGGACAAACACATGTATTATTGTTATAGGTATGGTGATATGAAGACTTACTTGTTCGCATAAAGATTTGAAGATTTGGGAGGATCGAAAATCAAGGAATGATACTATTCTGCATCATGTGAGAAGACACTCAACTATATTGGATTCATTGCATTAGAAGGCCTCAAGTTATGTATTCATCAGGGGGAGAAATTACGTGTTGCACTCTTTTTCCTTTAATCATGGTTTTGTCCCACATTGGGTTTTCCTGGTAAGGTTTTTCACGAGGCAGCATTTCGAGCGTATTACGAAGAATGTTGTACCCTTTTTCCTTCATTAGGTTTTTATCCCAAAGGGATTTTCCTAATAAGGTTTTAACGAGGCACAATCTTCGATAATGGACATCCAAGGGGGAGTGTTATGAAATATTTGTGGATATCCATTATTCTCCTAGTATCATTCCGGAACATTCTAAAAATAGGGTTTATATTTTTATCCAACCAAACCCTAATTATATTGTATGTATAAATATATATACCCCATCCTATGGAATAAAGATATACAGATTAATTCTCTCTCTATCTCTCATATTTTCTCCTTATTTCACAACATGTTCTAAATTTTACATACACAAACATTAAAAAAATAAATAAATAAATAATTTTAAAAAAATAAATTAATTAAAAAGGTACTAATTTATTGTTACAGTAAAATTTAATAGAAATGAAGGTAGTATATAATATGATTTGATTTAGTAGTAATAAAAATAACGACAACATCAATAAAATACAAATTACTTTCTGCTTATCAAAAAAAAAAAAAACTTTCTGAGTACAATATTCATCCTGTTATAAATCTTACGGAGTACAATATATGAGTGAACACAAGATGAAAACATAGGAAATATTTGTCATCTTTATGAGAAAATTTGTCTTTTTAATAATTAAAATGAGAAATATCATTAGTCAATCATATTATTTTACACAGTACAATAGTTAGTTATAGAATTAGATATATCCAAGACTATTTCAAATAATATTCGAGCAACCTTACACGTAAACAAAAGAATTTTATTAATAACCTATTGAACCAATTAATAATTTATGAAATGGTTGTACATTTGTAAAGAGTAATATATATAATAATACTTTCGTGTTATTAATTAGGCGTATAGTATAATCTTTATTATATTGTCGATGTTTGTCAACTTAGTAGCATCAATTCGTTAAGTCATTAACTAATTAATATTTAATTAAGGATTCCTAGATGATTAGCGCCACTCTTCTAGAAGTTTAGCTAAGGCAAGCAGTATTACGTCATAATGTTAAGATAGCCACAGACATTTTGGCTCTTGCTGCTCCACATAGGGGTGTCACCGGTCCAAAACCGGACCGGACCTGGACCGGATCTGTTTGGACCGGGGACCTGAATTGGGTAATTATGAGGACCGGGGACCGGACCTGAATTAACAGGTCCGGTTCCGGGCCAGACCTGAAAAATCAGGTCCGGTCCGGGTTTGGACCTGAATGGACCTGTTTTGTGTCTTTTTCGTTTTTTTTTTTTTTAATACAAAACCTGTTGGACCTGCATATGGACCTGCATATGGACCTGTTTTGTGATTTTTAGACCTGTTGCATAATTTAATAATTACATACAAACCAAAATTATCAATTACAAAACTACATAAAGTCTATAAAGTCCCGATTCTCAAACACCAAAAATACAAATGAGTCCACCGAAAATACAAATAAGTCCACGAAAACTCATAAAATTACATAAATTCTCTTAAGTCTCAACTCTCAAGTACTAGGAATACATAAATTCTCCAACGAGTTGTTTTCCCTTTGATCGCGTGATTCACACTAATGAATCCACGAAAACAACTTCATCGTCTACATCGTTAGATTCACCACGTTGCACCTCTAAATAAAATACAATATAGAATATATTAATGATTGATAACAATGAAATAATAAATTTGGTGTAACAAAATTTCAAATACATAAAATTATTACTACCTTTCTCTATTTCCTCTAACTCTTTCAAATTTTCTTCCACATCAACAATTGGCACTTCCTTAGCTCTAAGCCAATCTTGTGTGCAAAGTAACGCTTGAACTATCTTCAATACAAAAATATTACACAAATATGTATAAACAAAGTCATATTAAGATATAAACAAACTTGATTTTATAAAATAAAAAGATAACGATGCATTACCTTAGGAGTTAAAGAACTCCGAAATGGATCTAGAGTACGACCTCCCGTACTAAAAGCAGATTCCGATGCAACGGTCGACAATGGGATGGCTAGTATGTCACGTGCCATGCGATTAAGAATCACATAACGCTGACCATTCTTACCCCACCATGTCAATGCATCTTGTTCTTCCTCCTCCGGCCCTAATTGATCATTTAAGTACCTATCCAACTCACTTATCGCATACCCACTTGTCCCCTTCAATCGTTTTGCTCTTTCTTTTAGTTTCCTCACATAATCGGAACCCACTCCTTTACTATTATCAATATCCATTGACATATTATCTCCACAATCTGGAATATTAGAAGTAGCATACATTTTTCTATATTCCTCAAATAAAGAGTAAGCGAACTCCTTCACATCATTAGCAAGTTTTGTACCCTTTTCCGGTCCATGCATATCCGTTAGTGTCAATTCAACAATGACCATCTTAGAGTGAGGGTCGAGAAGAAGAGCAACATAAATGAACTTATTCATCTTATCCACATCCCCCCAATACTTATCAAACTTTTTTTTCATTGCAATGGCCATGGCTTGAAAATTCAAGTCCTCACTTTGTTCCCAATTATTCAACATATCATACATAGAAGCAATTTCTCCTAAACCTTTATTAGCTGTCACATAATGGGAACCAGAAATTCGTTTAGTTAACAGATAAAACCCCCCTAGAAACAAAACCAACCTCTCCACTTTTTCCCAATCTTCGGGTTCGGGAGGCCTTTCATTGTCATTCAAATCCTCTCCATCAGGAAGAGATAACCCACTAAAAACACGTCGAAACTTCAAAGCCGTTTCCAACATTATGTATGTGGAGTTCCAACGAGTGGGGACATCAAAGGATAAAGAAGATTTTGAATCTATGTTTGCTTTTTGCACAAGATCTTTGAATCTAAGTATTCTTGCAGGGGAATTCTTAACATATTTCACAGCATTTCTAACTCTATCAATGCACACACCATGTTCTCTAATACCATCCCACACAATTAAATTAATGATATGAGCAATGCATCTAACATGAAGATTTTTTCCATCATTTATACATCCTGTTCTTCTAACCATTCTACTCAAGTGTGCACAAGCAACATCATTTGAAGAAGAATTATCAACAGTGACAGTAAAAAGTTTATCATCAATACCCCAATACTCTAAACATGCCTCAACTGCTTTTCCAATAGCCTCTCCTTTATGACTAGAAATTGGACAAAAATTTATGATCTTTTTATTCAATTTCCAGTCATTATCAATGAAATGAGCTGTAAGACACATATAATTAATTCTTTGTATTGAAGTCCAAGTATCAGTGGTCACAGAAATTCTTTGACATGTCTTAAACATTTCTCTCAATTTCTCTTTTTCACTATAATACAACTTTAAACAATCACGAGCAATGGTAACGCGAGATGGAATGTGAAATTGTGGACATGCAACTTGCACAAAGTGCCTAAAACCGGGTTTTTCCACATGCTTAAATGGTAACTCATCAACAATAATCATGTGAATCAATGCCTCTCTAACATCATTCAAGTTAATAATCCTACTCCCACACTTTAATTCACTACTCTCATGTTCTTGATCAAAATACAATTTAGTTTGCTTTTCTTTGCCCTTTTCTTTTTCTATATTAATAGGATTACCGAGACATGATTCTGCATGGTTTTTAACATTTTTTGAACCATTAAGATTACCATCAGCAGCAAAAGTTTTAGGACAGAACTTACATTCAGCTCGTAGTTTTCCATTCTCGACGTACTCTAAGTAATATTTCCAATACTCAGCTTTCCTCTTACTTTTTCTGTTCCATATATATTCCCGCCCCGCTTTTAGCTTCTTATCAGGAGGCAAAGTAGATTGCAATTCTTCCATATCCTTTTCAGAAAGTGGTTGTGACGTTTGTTCAGAAAAAGAAGCAGACCGTTTGGATTGAGAGCTCTCCATCTACAATATAATTATATACAATATAAGTAATTTTAAAGTAACAATTATATACACATACCATTTTATAAAAAAATTTAAGAGCAACTTACATTGCAAGAATAAGAATCCGTGGTTCCTTGACTTCCTTCACTCCCTGCAAGAATAAAAACAAAAATAAGAATTTGATCACCTAAATAGGAAGAATTTTCAAATTGGAGGATATTATTGTTTGGTTTCTGCAACCTTAAGTTGAATATAATTTTGTCTTTGTATCAAGTCTCTCTCTAACATACATCCTTTTCATTTCAGCTACCTTGTAGCTTCTTTGCTTTTATTCTCAAGCCAATCTCTATTTCAGTCTTTGCAAATTTCAACGACTGCATTTAAAACAAGAAAAAACATACTACTATATTCAAATTTAGATACATTATTCATGGAAAAAGATGTTGCAGTAGAAAATTAATGGAGGAATTATACATACAGTATGTTTGTTCAAGTCATAAATCCACACTATTCAAGACAAGGAATTATACATACGTGCTTTAGTCATATGTTAATTTGTGTAGCTTAACTTAATCCTACACGAATAAAATTTCACCTAAAACAGAACATCAGATTAATAGGGTTGATTATCGATATACTTGTCTAATTAATCACAATAAAAATTAAACTAGTACAGTACAGCAGTACTCACAACTCGTACATCTTTATGATAACGTTTTTACTATGGTAGATAACTCAAACTGCAACTTTCACTCAAATAAAAGAGAGGTCTGCATTTGAAAAAGGAATATTACAATTTCGAGTCTTGTACATAATATTCATAAGCTATTACAGCATATCAGCAGTACGCTCAAGCAAACATCAGAAGGGAAATCTGGCTAATTTTGCAAATTTGTACTTAGCAACATGATATGGCCTATTATTTCAGGTAAACATAATTCTCTGCCATTTGATCACGAGTTGATTATCACTCAACAATGCATGTATGGTAAGTTGTAGAAACCTCCGGGATTTCTGTAACATGTTGCAGATATCTTGGAATTGGAGGATTAGCCACTTGTGTGACTCCTTCCAAAATTTGTACGACATTTACCATGGACAGCCTATCTTCCTCATTTTCTTGGATACACCAGCCTGCAACTCTGCAAGTCCTGATTAATTCTTCAACCACTCCAAAACCCCCTCCAATCCAAAACACCACCCAGCCACCCCGAAAACCCATCTCCACTCTCGGTGACCCTACCAGCCACCACGAAAACCCCATCTCCACTCCCGACAACCCCATCAACATTCACAATTTTCCATCCAGCCATCCCAAAAACCCCAGCTCACCACCCCAACCCACCCCACCCCACCCCACTGCCACCCCTTAACCCTTAACCCCCACACACCAGAACCGTACCACCGTAACCCCACCATAACCCCACCCCAACCCACCCTACCACACAAATTTTCGCACTAAATTAATCTTAATAATCATAATAAACACAAAATTTCGAACTAAATTTCGCACTTGAACCCTAAACCCTAAACTTCTTAATTCTTATGAACCCTAAACTCAAAAAAACCAAAAAAAAAAAAAAACAGAAATTCGAAAGAGATGAACTAAAAATAAGAAATTCAACATGCAAACATCAAACAATCATTAAAAGCAATTGAAAATTTGAAACAAGAATAAACATATAAATTCTCACACTTAATTTATTATTTCGAATTAAAAATACCAAAATTATAAGCAAATACTTACCAGATATTATCGGTGTGCATCGCCTGAGAGAATGAGGGAGGTGTCGGCAGTGGGCGGTGGCCGGAGCGAGTTGGGACAGCCGGACAGCCGCGTTGAGAAGTTGAGATTGAGGGAGGCTGAGAGTTTGGGCTTAGGGAGTTAGGGTTAGAACTTAAACATTTGAAAGAGATTGAGGGAGGCTGAGAGTTTGGGCTTAGGGAGTTAGGGTTAGAACTTAAACATTTGAAAGAGATTGAGGGAGGCTGAGACTCTGAGAGAATCAGTTTTTTTTTTTTTTTTTTTTAATTACGATTTCCCGGGTTTCAGGTCCGGACCTGAAAACCCCGGGTTTGGACCGGGTCCGGACCGGGACCGGGAACCTGGATTTTTAAGAACCGGGACCGGACCTGAATCAACAGGTCCGGGTCAGGTCCGGTCCGGTTCAGGTCGGTTCAGGTCCGGGCCAATTTTTGTACACCCCTAGCTCCACATATATATTGCTCTTTTAATAATTAGGAATTAGAGTATTATTACAATTATAAGTAATCCGTATACTTAATACGGATAAAATATTGTCGTGTATATCGTATTAATTAAATATTATTCGTAAGTGATTTATATATTTTCTTTGTCTCGTAATGTTTCTACATACTCATGCAGTGATGCTGGTGTAGTAATTTATATATAATGATTTTTTTATTAAAGAATTTAAAATTTTGGATATCGTATAGTATAGGGTGAAAAAGGAGTAAAGGAAAAAATGATTCATGTGATGAAGTTAAAAAGAGAACGAATAAGGGTAAAACTGTAATAAAAATGTATTTTTTACGAAAATGAAGAGACGAAGTTAAAAGGGGACGAGGGGAATTGTTATTTATCTATGTTGTAATAAAAATCTATTTTTCACAAGAATGAAGAGACAAAGTTAAAAGGGGATGATCAATGATGGGATTAAATTAGTTATTTACCCCAATAATAATATGTTGATAAACATTATTGTTGAGCGACGACTATATTAAGTCGTGAAGAGTCACATACAAGAATATGTACGTTATCATCATTTTAAGATCGACAATGACATGAATAACAATTCTATACACTTGGATACTAAATGGATAATTTAGTAGAAGCAACATGCTTTATTTCCCTTTCAAAGTATACACATAGTTAAGCAAAGTTCCAAAAAAAAAAAAAAAAACAAAAATTAAAACTCACATAGATTAAAAGATGGTGCACAATCTCCTAATAAAGAATGAATGATTTCGTAATTCTTAAGAGGCATGCAAAAAGACAATTAAACGAAAAGAGAGGATGAAGACATGAACTTTTTTTTTTCTGTTTTGGCGTGATGGGTATAACCTTAAAATATGGTATATTAGGCATCACCAATTTTGATATTAGGCTAATCATATGTATGGATAAGAAAAACAAGGAAAGTGATCCCGATCAAATCCTAAAAAAAAATACCCATATACGGAGTATTAGTTTAAATTATAATGGTAAATCTTGTTCATATATGTCGGCATGTCGTTTTACAATTAAGGCAATAAAAACCTTTACAACAAGGAACTATAAATATGTTCACCAAACCTTTAGGTCTCTAAAAGGAGTTATGGTTTACGAAGCTAGAAATTATTTTTCAATACTCCGTATAAAGGCACACAACACACTAGGCAGTAATATATTTGCCAATACCTTTTATTAATTTTGTTTTGGAAAAATTACTTTAAATAATTCAGCCTTTGCTCCATTCTCCCAAAATAATCCCACCTTTAGATAATTCCATAATAATCCAACCTTTTACTCTCATCTTCCAATATCAAACCCAACAGGTTACCTTGCTTATGATTCATGTTCATGTTTTTATTGGTTTGGTTTAGATTTTAATTTACATAACCAAAACCCTAGCCCCCGAAACAACCCATAACCAAAAATCTAGCCCCCGAAACCACCTTCTCCACTCTCGAAACCGCCACCAATAACCCGAAACAACCCACAACCAAAACTCTAACCCCCAAAACCACCTTCTCCACCCCCGAAACCGCTACCCATAACCTGAAACAACCCATAACCAAAACCCTAGCCCCCGAAATCACCTCCTCCACCCTCGAGACCATCCCAAACCCAACCTCCTCACTTTCTCTTTCGTCAAGAAACACAAATTAAAGGGATAAATTTTTTTTTTTTTTTTTTTTTTGGGTGGGTAGGAGTAAGCCGGTTTGGAAGTGGAGGAGGAAGGGGGTAGGCCGTTTTTGAAGCCGGCAAGTTTCTAAGGGAAGGGGGCGGCAAGTTTGTCGGCGAGAAGGGGCCAGAGTGGTTGGGGGAGGAGGAAGAAAGAAGGTGGTCGAACTTTGGGTGGTGGGAATGGAGGAAGATGGTTTAGGGAGGAGAGAAAAAAGGATGACCAGTTATTTTGGTAACCGGGCATCTGGGTTCACTATGGGAAGATAGGTGTGAAAGGTTGAATTATTATGGAATAATCCAAAGGTGAGATTATTTTGGGAGAATGGAGCAAAGGTTGGATTATTTAAAGTAATTTTTCCTTTTGTTTTTTATGATGTTAAGAGGGCAGAGAATATAGCAGTCCATACTATAATAGGCAGATATAATACTCTAGGTGAATTGGAACTTGATCTGATAATATTATCCTGGCCTAACTTTCCCTCAAAAAATATACTCCCTCCGTTTATTTTGAATTGCAACTTTGATTGGAATTGCGGTTCACAAGACAAAAGTTAAGGAGTATGTAGTAGTGGGATTAATTAAAGGTGATTAAAGTTTATAGAGAGAGAAAGTTTGGCCCACCACTTGCTAAAGTAGTGGGATTGTTGGCTGAATTTTCCCCCCAAAAATATCCCAAAAATTTCTTTTGGCTGAAATTTTGGGAATTTTCGTTTCCCTCCAAATTTAAAAAAACAAAACAGCAAACATTCAAACGTTAGAGCTTATAAATAGTCATTGCAATACATATTTATGAGGCATTTAAATACAGCCTCCATCAGAAGCATTGAATGTTGTTTTCATGTTCACAAAATGTTAAACATTCTTCCTTCAAAAGATAATCCACCATATTAATTACAGAGTGTTAGCCCAATATTTACCAAAAAATTTCCCTAATCTGAAATTAAAACTGCCCAACTAAGACCCTAAACCCTTCCAAGGCAGCTGCTTCTTCTTCGTCCTTCATCTTCTTCCCAAAAACAGAGCAACCACCATTACATCAACCAGCTGAAGCTAAGCAAACAAAACACGTTAGGCATCCATGGCAGACTCATTTGAAGGTATGTACTTCGATGTTGATCAGATTCTGACAGAAGAAGAAGTGGCAGAACTGTACTACGATTATGCAGAACATTTGCAAGATCTAGGTATGGATTACTACGACTCTGAAGATGAAATTATGCAACAAACAGAAGGAGAAGACCAAGGGCAGCACAACACAGATGAAACACAAGCTGGGGATGGGGGCCAAGAAATGGAACAACCCATTCACCATGGGACTCAACACATACATAGAAAAAACCTGACAATGCAACAAAGAAGGGAAGTTGTGGACTCAATGTTGGTAAACATGCATCAAGGGAACTTACCAAGAGGTTACTTAAAGCAATTATCAGTTAATTTCAATGTGCATAAATCAACTATCACAAGAATGTTTTCAGACGTAAAGAAACAGATGGCACAGGGCAATATGATTGATGTCAGGACCAAGAAGTTGGGCAGAGTTGGCAGAAAGGCAAAGGAATTTTCTGATGCATTCCTACAATCAGTGCCTTTGCATTTAAGGCAGACAGAAGACATTGAGGTAGATGCAGACTGAGGGACTTATCACATCAAAGTAGAAACACATGGACTGCCACACATAACCACTTACAATTGGTATGGTTATTTTTTGTTTTCATGTTCTCTTTTTTAGGTGGTTATGTGTATTTTGTTGAATACAATGATCAAACATGATAGGCAGTTTAATGTAAAGTATTTTTGTAACCACATGGTCAATGGAATATAAATGATTATTTGTCTGATGTTATGTGGCCCTTCAATCCATCAGAAGCTTTTTTTTTCCATACTTCAATAACACACCAACCCACACGGTTACCTCAACAATAAGAGCATAAAGCACATAATTGGAGCAACACCCATGTGGGTTGGGAAGGTCAACAGAGTCCCTTCCTCATTTGGACTTAGACAGAGTACAAAACACAGACAAATAGGGGACTGAATAGAAGTCATGCTACCACATAAGGGACCGTCATGTGTTCTCTACTACATTGATCATTGAGAACAATTGAAGGTATGAACATGGGGCCTTTTTAAAATGTATTCACACAGTAGCCTCATCATTCATCAATCAAACACCCATATGCACCAAATGCCATATACCAACAACCAAACAGTACTTACAATATTCTCCAACACATGCATACATGTTATATAGTCCAAAACAGCAGACATAGCCAACCAAGTCAGGAAAAGCATACATGACAGAAGAGCAGGATATCACAAGTAAGCAACTAACCAAGCCAACATTAATCCACAACACCAACTACAACAGAGCA